CAGGGGGACACAGGAAGAGCTGAGGGATGTAGCAAAAGCTACAGGTAACAATCTGTGGGTCAGGGGCCAAGTTAGGGGACAATGAGGGGATGAGTTGGTGATGAGAGTGCAGAGCAGAGGGGCTGGGCAGCCAGAGCTGTAGGTGGGACATGGAACAGCATAAGGCAACCAAGGGTTAAGGGTCATGGAGGTGGAGGCAGGAGACCCTGTTCAGTACCCCCTGCTCACCATCCATCCATCTTGCTGAGGTTTCATTTGGGCTCTGCAATGCAGGAAGAGACTGTAGTTTCCTTCTTGTTTCCCTGCATGTTCAGGCTCTTTCCTCTCTGCAGGGTCACCTCGGCCAGTACATGGTTCCTGGGCACTCACCTGGGACAGGGGCCAGCTTGGTGGCCAGCCAAGTAGCTGTGCAGTGCCCAGTCCCAGGGACAGCACCGAGGAAGGTGTGCCAGGATCAGGGCCCCAGCACAGAGCACTGACCATCCTACGTATCACAGTGGTAGCAGGACTTAATCCTCCCGTTATCATCTTTTATTGCACACAGTCAGATATTGCAGCACGTTACCATCAGTTCTGGGTACTCCCTTCCTTGTGTGGGGCTGGCTTTGCTCCACTGGACTAACTTGGCTTAATTCCTTATGTCTTCAGCTGCTTTCTCCTTCCCTGGGGGGTAGACTCCAGTTCTGGACGTGAGAGACATTAGAAGGATGTTGTGAAATAAAACCTATAGAAGTCCACCGAGATTCATCAATAAAGGAAGGAATCCACGGAGGAGATTCAGTGTTACTGGGAGCCGTGGAAGTGAGGGAAGCCAAAAAGTGTCCTGCCACCTGCTCCCACTTGTGTTGCAGTTCAGTCATCACCAGGGGTGGTGGATTCCTGGGGCTGGTGCCTCCAGCAGTGGCAGGGTGGAGTGGTGTCTAACACACCCGTCAAAAGCTTCGGCGTGGGCACTTCAATGTCCACCTTTCCTGTGTTTTTCCATGTTCCTGATCTAATTGCACCAACAGAGCAGTCAAAAATTAACCTCCTTCCACCTGGCCCAAACAGGCTCTTTTAGAAGAGTTCCTGGTGTCTGGCAGCAGCTTTGCCCTACCTCACACAGACAAGTGCTAAAATAAATATCATCCTCTTAAAATGTAGCATAGAAACGTCATTTAAATTTAAGCCATTTAAAACCAAAGGTAGAAATCCCATGTGTGGTGCAAAGCCTCTTAATGCAAATAGTCAGTCATGCATTGCATGCCTCAATCACACTCGTATCGGTGTCATTTGTGTCCTAATAAAATCCTATAATCTTTTGCGTGCCAATTAAAGAAGGAAGATAGCTAAGTCTAGCTGCTTCCTCGGGTAATTACAGGCTAGCAGGGAGTCAGGCAGTTATCTGCCCTGGGTTTTGCTGGACTGGGGATTACCAAAGGGTATTTTCTCTCCTGTTTCTCTAAGGGACAGTACAATGGTTTTTTTAACTGTATGGTGTTTTAAAGGCATAACCAGGATCCAGGCAATGGTTGTTAACGAAAGATCCAGAGTTTAGATACACCCAGTTAAACAATGGATTGACCTTAACAATTGTATTTGCTTTACCAATATTTTAAGAGTCACTTTTTAGAAAGAAGCATTTATATTGAGTTCAGTAAGTTATTTTTCCATTTAAGCCTGTCCTTTAATTTAAAAGGTAATTTCTATGTTTCTTATAAGTACATCACAAGGGTAAATTATTAAAAAAGATAAACTGTGGCATTTTTAACAGTTTCTCTTGGTAGTGCTCATCTCAGTCCCATTGTGCTTTAGGCCCTCCATCATTAATATGCATTTCTAGTTCTCTTTTTTTCATTCACTTCCAAATTTGCTGACCAACAAGGACAGTGGAAATTGCCTGTAAAGTGCCTTTCTTTATTTCCCATCAGCAGGGTCATCAAGATTCTCATCCCGCTTACGTGTTTACGTACAGGAGTTTAATGTCACTGTGAACATAAACCAAAGGTGCCTTCTGGGGAAAGTTGTGAATACTATTATTTTTTTCCATCAACTCCACAAATTCATCAGCGCTGGGATTGTCCATAGCTATCCTCATTTATGTATATTTCATTTCAAGACTCGGCAGAAGGGTCATCCAAAGGAATTAACAAAATCAAGCAGTCCACGTGGGGAAGGGATGCCTGTGCTTGAAACAGCATCTCTGAATCAATCATGCCTTTCCTTCCACTGAGGCAATCTCACGTTTTCAATAGAAGGCAGACCTGCAGTGGGGTTTTTTTCCCCCCAGCATCAAATGGCATTCCACACAATGATATTCATCATGTTATAACTCTAGGTGAATGATAATGGATCAGAGGGAATGAAAACAGATGGATGTTAAAACAGACAATTCCCCGCCACAAACCTGGGAGCCCTCCTCTGCTGCCTAGTCCATTCATTCAGTGGATAATTGTATTAGACATTCCAACAATAGAGAGGCCTTCTTCATTAATCCTGAATTTACTGAAAAGAAGCTTTGCAGACTATAGCTCTTTTGGTGCTTAGACAACACCGGGCAAAATTTACCACGGGCTTAAATGTCTAAAACTCAGATAGATAGAAACCAGCACAGAAAATTCCAAAAGCAGGAGGGATGGGTGGGAGAGAGCAGGGTGCAGGATGGCCCAGCAGTGCTGCAGGTGGGCAGGAGACACTCGAGTGCCTTTTGCTGCAGCTCAGGTGATTCCGGGGAAATGTATCGGAAAGCTCTCCTCTCGCTGGAGTGCAGCTGAACTTATCAATATTGTGCCTGGGTTTGATCTGATTGTCCCTTTCCAGCCTCCAGCTCACCACATGAGCCAGTGAATGCCAATCCCTGCCATGTGATGGGGCACAACCGTTCCCTAACCCTGGTGTGCATCAGGTGACCGGGGCTAAGCAACACAGATCAAGTCTCTTACCAGCTGTCCTGTGAGTCAGACCCTTGATTACAATATTGACATTAACATTTTAATCACAGGCGTGCTGCTGCAGATTTTAATGACCAAGTTGCTGCGCCTTTGCTTTTTGAGGATCAGAAATTAGACCCTTGTTTGTAGCTGGAGCGAGCGCAGCATCAGAGCAGCAGCTTCCACGGCAGTAAACATGGCACTGCTCTTGCCACGAGCCTGCCCCTGGACATTAACCTTGCTGGCACTGAACACCTCTCTGGAATGGGGACTTTGTTCACCATTCCTGTGTTCCTGTGTCTGGGGCAGGACTGGAAGTTATGAAAAGAGGAGAAAGGCGGTGCTTTCGTGTTCTCCGTAGCCTGAGGCGACGTGAAAATCTACCCAATCCCTGGGTAACTATCATTTTCGATTCCCAGGTACTTTAATCAGGGCAGAGTAAGCCAGAGACATTTCCTTCATCCTGTACCTTTCTGTACCTTTTCTGCCCTGTGCCATCAGAGATAGACAAAAACTTCAATGCAAATGAAAATCAGACCCCAAATTTGCATCGTTCCTCTCACCCCAAACGTACTCCACAGTCTATTGCAAGTGCTGCAAGCTGAGTCTGCAAGGCTTTGCTCTGTTAAAGACTGTCATGTCCAAGGTGGAAGGACAAGCAAAAGGTCAGAATAAATAAACTGAATACAGAATTGCTTAAGGCAATAAAAAGAGACCACAGGCTTTCATTGCAGCTCTGACATGCACCAGAACACACTTTAGGACATTAAATAAGCTGGTTTGTGCGTCACTGAGCTTAGTTGTTTTGTGTTGTTTCTCCCCCTGCTACCCCAATACTTTGCTAAAATGATCAGGCCTTAAATGCTTGGTATCCTTTCCACAAACATGGGCTGCCTTTATCACTTGCTTCATCATGGTCATTTGCACTGAAAATACATAATCACTGTCAGAGTACAAAGAATCATTACGAATAATTAGTTACTTCCAATATGGCAAGTCAGTCTCATAAATCTTGAATATTTGGCTTTGGTTTTGGAAAGAGATTCCTTAATGGCTACAC